AGCCCTTTCCCCGCCGGACACAGCAAATGCGTACACGCCCTGCTAAACGCGCTCGCATGGTTCACGCCCAGCGCGCGCATCAGGCGCTTGATCCACGTTTCTTCCGCCGCGTCCAGTCCTGAGTGACTTAGGATTACGCGGGAGGCGAGAGGAACGGGGGTGGGAAAGGGGAGCGGGGTGAAGGTTGGGTGGTGCGAGGCGGGGAGGAGCGAGGTGGACGTTAGGCAGCCTTCGAGCCAGCATTCTGTTCTGTATTTCGCCTGCAACGCCTCGTCCGTTTCCGCACGATATATCGCGCTGCCGCTGTAAAGCTTCGTCAGTACCCTAGTATATGATATGTAGATGAGGAAGGAACGAACCTGACGAGTCGCACAATGATATAATCCACACTCTCGTCGTCCACATCTGCACTATCGATCCATACCCCCGCACAACTCTCCACCGCAGCGCGTACACTTGCGCTCTTCGCCTCGCCCAACGCGCGGAACTTGAGCCCCGCGAACACAGGCGTCTTCCCATCTCCATTCCCAACATCAACATTAACATCCTTGGTCGTAGAAGGACCCGCCTGAGCTTGCTGCTGCGGCACCGGCGACGCACGCGCAAGCGGCGCGAATATCGACTGGCTGCGCCTGAACGGCTGCTTCGACGCCCCCTCGGCATCAAGCTTAGACTTCGCGAACGAGTTGGTGCGCGAGAACGTCGAGAGCGCGCTGTGGCCTTTGCGGTCTGGATGGAGCTCGGCGTGCGCCTGGCTCGCGGCTCGCCACAGCTCTGCCTGTGTCGGTTTGTTCTGGATAGGCTTAGGCTGCGGGAGTGGGAGCGCTTGATCGTCCACGTCCATGTCCGGTGCGGGCGGAGGCTTGGAAGGACTCCGCACGAGCCCCGCGCCGTCCACGGACCGCACATACCCGCGTCGTTTCAGGAGGGACTCCCATACTTGGAGCGTGACGGCTGGAACGTGCGCGCGGGCCGGTGCCACTTCGTCTTCGTCTACTTCTTGTTGATTCGAGTTGGACGCGGAGGTGGAGGCGGAGACGAGAGGGCGGGGCGGGGGCGGGAGGGAGTGCGATTCTTGTGCGTGGCCGATGAAGGGCTGTTGGGAGGGCGTGGGCTGGGTGAGCGGTTTTGGGAGTGGACGGGGGAGGTCGACGGAGTAGGGTTCTTCGTTGAACCGTCCTACACCTGACATCAATACCCAATATATCCAGTAGAGTGAAGTGGTAAGACATACCGCCGTATCGTATACAATCGAAAAACCACTCCTCCCACACGAGCTTTATATTCGCCTCGCCCGCCTGATTGAACCGCCGCGCATAGCGCATCTTGTCCGTCTCCTCCTCGCCCGTGCACAGCAAATGCGTGACCTTGACCGGCCGGCGGAGTTCCTTGACGTACGCCCCGCCGTGTTTCGTGACGAGCCTGTTTATCTCGGTGCGCTGGTCGAGCGAGGTGAAGCCGGAGAGGCAGAGGATTATGGATGTGAAGGGCGGGAGGCGGTGCTCCTCGATGCTTTCGGGGACGGAGAACATGTCGCCGCGCAGCCAGATCTCGTGGTTGTCGAGGATCCAGGAGGGCTTGAGGATCGGGATCTGGCGCTCGACGGCGCACTGCCACATACTCATCAGCCATGCACATCACGTAGTATGAAAACATGATATCGTACCTGGTACTTCTGGCCCGTAGCCTCTACGGCAATCAGATGCGTAACCCGATCCGTAAAGTCGTACGAAGTACTAGCGCCCAGCTCCTGCGCTTTACTAAACACCTCGCTCTACACCCCGCACACAGTCACAGTCAGCCTTCCACCCTCCATCCCATGCCACAACAATAATACACACCTTATCGACCCCAGTAGCACACAGCACAACGCCCCTCAGCGGCCGCGGACACGGGTCCACAAAGCTGCCCGACAGCTCCTCGTCATGGTCGTTATAGTTCGGTGGTGAGGATGTGGGCGTCGAGAGCGGTGGGGGTGTACGTCGTTTGGAGTGTTGGACGGGCCGGAGTTTGACGTTCGGGACCTGTGCGCCGAGGTTCAGTATTCAGTTTGGGTTTGCAGAGCTGATGGGGATGGGGATGGTAGATACCTTGTGGGATTTGTTTGAGCGCCGGAACGACATGGGCCGCTCAAGTTGGAGGCGGTGTGGAGTGGGGAGCCGTCGTGTAAGGGTGTGTGTAGGAGGAAGGGTGGCTCTGTGCGCTGGTGAACGTCGCGGTCCGACTCGAGTCTCAGTGTTGAAATACACAAACCGTCACGCGTGACGGCGCGCGTCATCCACAACAACCACACGCGTTAACCGCACGCGCGCGCGCTTGATCGCCCATCAAACGTCTAATAATCCGACCCACCACCATCCAGATCCTAGGGACATGTCGAACCTCGCGCGATCAGCAATGCAAGCCCGCCTCTCCAAGCTCCCCCAGCTCCCGCCCGAGCTGATGGGCGAAGACGGCGACGAAGACGAAGAGAGCGCCGACTCGATCGGCGCGCTGCCGTCGGCTTCTATGGGTCCTCCCAGGTACCTTCTCCCTTCCCCACTCTCTATCGTCTACTACCAAATACTGATCCAATACTCCATACGCAGATCTAAACCCCGCCAACCCCGCACCCCAAACCCCACCTTCACCCCCCTCCCCGCATCCCCCTACTTCGCCCAAGCCCTCCAAATCGCCGTCCCCGCCTCGCACCTCGACATGCGCGCGTACTACACCCCGCCCAAACCGCGCACGCAAGACGAGCCCGGCAGCGTGCTCGTGTGCCATCACGGCGCGGGGTTCTCCGGGCTGAGTTTCGCTTGTTTTGCTGGCGAGGTGGGGAGGATGACGGGTGGGGAGGTGGGGGTGTTTAGTGTTGATGCGCGGAGACACGGTGCGCTCTCCTGTATGTATGATGCAAGGATGTGAGGGCTGATTATGTGTGGTGGGTGCAGGCAAGACAGTACCGACAGACGACACATCAGACGACGATCTCTCGCTCGACGTTCTAGTACAAGATATAGTCCATCTCCTCCCCACTGCCTTTCCGGACCCTAAATCGGCGCCGACGCTCTTCGTAGGTATCCTCTCTCCCCTCCCTCCCTTAATATTAGGATGAGATGAGCTGATGTAGAGGGTTATAGCTCGTGGGACATAGTATGGGCGGCGCCGTCATGGTCCGCGCATGCCCGGCCCTCCAAGCGCTCGGATACCGCATCGGGGGCGTCGCGGTGCTCGACGTCGTAGAAGGTACCTCTCTCTTCTCCTCACTCTCCCTCACCCTCCCCCCACTCACGCACTCACTCACCCGTCCCAACCTAGGCTCCGCGTTGGAGGCACTACCAATGATGCCCACGATCCTCGCCGCGCGCCCAACCGGCTTCGACAGCCCCGAAGAAGCGATCGAATGGCACGTCTCCGCCGCGCAGATCCGCAACGCGACCTCCGCGCGCGTGTCCGTTCCATCACTTATTGTGCCCGCGCCGTCCGATCCTAGTGCGCTGAGGGCGCGCGCGTTTACGTGGAGGACGCCGTTGGGGACGACTGGCCCGTATTGGGAAAGTAAGCCGTATTTCAATATCCATGAGGATGGAAGAGTGGGAGAGCTGATGAGGTGTCGGTGTGTGCAGGCTGGTTCCGCGGCCTCTCGGCGTCCTTCCTCAGCGCGCGTACCGCGCGGCTGCTCGTGCTGGCAGGGACAGACAGACTGGACAGAGAGCTCATGATCGGGCAGATGCAGGGCAAGTTCCAGATGGAGGTCGTGCCCGGGACTGGACATATGTTGCACGGTGTGTCTTTCTGTCTTTTGATTTGCTTGTTACTTTCGAGCTCCATCGCGCGCGCGTGGGGTGTACGGCGTCGGGCTGTCTGATGCACGCTTCGGTTCGCCCGATGCACACTTCGACGCGCATACTTTTTGGTCTTCTTGCTCTCGTTTTGTATGTTTGAGTGTCGTGCTGATGTCCGGTTGTGTTGCAGAGGACGATCCGGTGCGGTTGGCGGAGATACTGGTCGAGTTCTGGAGGAGGAACGATCGAGTCGTTATCGGTGTTAAGAAAGTTGGGGAGTTGTGATGATCCATGTGCGGACGAGTATGGAGCCTCGAAGTTGGGATGTAGATCTAGAGAAGTGTTGGGCACAGTGTACTACAGAACATGCAATCTGTCGCTCGCTAACGGCTGCCAATGTCAATCGAGTCGCCTGGCCTCGTGTAAGGTCCGTCCGTAGACTGATCCTTACAAGAACTTTCTCACACCAAAACCAGAAACAGAATGTAGACTCGGACTCAGGCGAGGGGGAAAAGTCCCCTCAGCTGTACTCTACGGCCTCCTTGTATACTGTCAAGCTACGGTAACTATGAATAACCGGTCGGGATGAAGGGTCGGAATATCAGAGGTCCACGCGAGGACGCGGGTTCGAGTCGAGGACCTCCGCGGAAAATGATAAGCCGAACTATCCTCACAGCTCTCGCCGGCAGAAAATTGATACAAAGTCCTGGCTCTGTGAAAATACCAAGCACATACATTGACGAGGTTGGATATCGGTTTGGCAGTGTTGCCGGCTCTCGCAAAGCGATCAGTTAGAGAGCAACGCCCGCCGCCGCTGCGGTTCGGAGGCGCGGGGTTGATTTCGGAACCGAGGTGCGCGGTGTGGCGCGGCGCGGTGAGCGGCCCAGTCAGTCACCACCACCACCACCATCACCACCCCCATGGTCACGACAACCGCACCGTCGAACGTGGAATGAAACTAGAACTGGAGGGGCAGGAGCGGAAGGAAGAGTTGGCGCTCGATGAACGGCCAGACTCGAAACCGCGCCTTCTCTCGACCACCAGAAAGCGGTCGTGTCGGGCGGGCCGCTTTACAAGACTAGCTGGAGATTCTTCACAAGTAGGTGTGGTGTAAAGAGGGAAAGGAGGCAGGCGGTTGGGTGATCGGGCGTTTGGACGTACGAGTGTATTCGTCCCATGCCGACAGTAACCGCGAATGAAGATGTGTTCAGTTCATCGCCCCGCGTGAGATCGTGCTTCCTTCTGTGCCCTATGCTCGCGCAAGGCATAACAAGCTCCCGAGAGCGTGCGAGGGCGCTTGTGAGCCACGCGTATCTAGTGCGGTCCTTGGGCTGTGCTCCCTAGGACATCGCTCCTTCTCTTCGTCCTCCACGTCCCTGTCCTGGACACGCCATACTTCTTCTCGTCCTCATTGCTCGGGACAACAGTCCAACCCATATCCAACCATGTCCGGGACAACGGAGGAGCGCTTGTCGTATGTCTTTTGATCACCTGAAGCCGGATGGTGGTCTAACCTAAGCGCTTGGTAGCAATGTCTTTGGTCCTCGGATGCAAGCAGACCGTCCGCTTGGGAAGGAGATTCTGCTCTGTGTTGATAGTAAGGGATTACAGTGCTCTCTACGTTGCCGTTCTGACATTCGGTTGCAGTTGAAGGGATGAATGGCCTGCCACTGGAGAAGGCGTGGCCGCATTGTCACGACGTTCGCCCATCATATCGAGTGAACTTTAAGGCTCTCTCGGACGAAGGATCGCGTTCTATATCTACCCCAATTGTATATGAAGGCCAGGGATCTCTTCAGGGCACGGTGCAATGGAACGAGACCATCTACATGTTGGTTAAATAATCTAAATTGCCATCTGCATCCGCTCATCTACAAGCTTAGCCGGTGTTTGGAACTGTCCTACATTGAAGTCGTTCTGCTATGTTCCCATCCTGATAACCCCGCCCGGGCACGCTCCTCCTACGAAACGTGCATGCCCGTTAAAAGCTTTGTTTCCGCCACTCAGAGTAAGATCTCCATTGGTATTGAGCCAATTATATACGACGGTAACTTGATTCTGCAGTGCCACTCAGACATCGGAGTGATCCCAGTCGCAACTCATGCAACTTGTTCCTTTCCGTCTCCCGAGTCTTCCCCGAGGGCGAGGAAGAGACTTGCGATTTGAGTACTTCATGTCTGCAGGCCCGACATGAGCAGAGTCACGTTGATCCGACGGTGCCGGTCAGCGTATGGAATACTGCTTTCAATCAGATGTCACTTTTACTGGACACTGCTTGTCGGTGGAATGGTAATGGTAATGGGAGGGTAATGTGTACATCAACATCACATGGGGTATTGGCAACTTAGTGAACCATCCAGATGCAGGCATCTTTCCTATTTTCCCCTTGGGCTGAAGGCTGGCTCTACATGGCATACCGAGATCGTTACGTATGGCATGATTTTGCAATTCCTGTACACCTTGCTTACAATCAGCCTTCTATGTAGAGTGGCATGGAAGGAAAGGATCAGCTCGACAAAGATCTAGGGAGAGTCTTTGCATGTACGCAGGAGTTTATGAATGTGATCCGACAACCTGTCGCACGTACGCGCGAGCCAAGTAAGGGCCGTTACATAGACTTGACTATGCGTGCGGTGTATAGCGGGGTGAAACACATACGCTCGGATCCCTTCGGACATTGGCAGAGTGGTAAGCAGTAGTGTCGTCACCATGACATCGACTCACGGCCTTGGAAACACCACCTCCTTCAGCACATGAAAGATTCGTGGCAAAGTTGACGAGGCTTGCCTGGATCATCGTCACACCAGATCCACCTGCAACGGCCACCGACACTCCGACGACGATAGCCAAAGACGCAATCCTCCTGGTTCTAGATGCCATCGTACGATCGTCGGACGCATTTCCACCACTAAAGAGTGCAGCCAGCGGCCTGCTCTTCTTTGCTACCTGTGCAGACGTGAGCCATGTATCCCGTCCACCAGCTTGAAGTACTTACTAACGCTATCGCGTAGATGGCATGCGGCAATAAGAAGCAGATCCGCGACATATACAAGCGCATACACGGCCTGGCTGCCTCGCTCAAACGCGGAACCAAGGAGGGGAGCCGGATCACTCCAGAACATCAGGATGCCATCGAAGTTCTTGCAGCGTACGTTCTCTAAGAAAGTATACTGCCCGGACTGACTTTGTCTCAGAGATATCGAAGCATTGAAAGGCGATCTGGAGGGCATCATCTCCGAACGCAAGAGCCGCTTCAGACGGTTCTTCTCGGCCAAACGGCACCGCGAAGAGCTGAAGGATGTCGTAGAACAGCTCGAGACCTCGAAATCGAACTATACTGTGAGACTCTTGAGTTGCATACGCGCCTCACGTTTCTCACATGCGCGCATTTGGTAGACTGCATTGGCCACGTTGAACGCCATGACGATCGCCGACGTCAATAGGGATGTGAGGGCTATCGCGCTCGTCCTGGACGCGCGCCCGGTGTACATGCCCGGCACCCGTCGTGCGCAGGATGTCACGTTTCCAAATGGCGCGAGCCGGTTTGAGGAGATTTGAGGGATAGACGCGAGGAGTGGGTTCACGACGAACAGCCGCCCATGTGACTCGCGAGCCTGTAAGATGGGGAGTCCCGTGCAGTTTTGGGTCTGCTATGTATACCACGAAGCCATGGATTGTGTTCTCATTGTATGACAGGGTCGAAACCCGAGATGATGTATGTAGGATAGACGATGACGGTCGGAAGCAAGCGGCGCGAGCGACAATTCACCGCTGCGCAGGCACTACCCAGCTTCGACCCGATGATCCGAACACAGCGACGTCGGCTCTTGCAGCCGATACTTAGGCGCGCAACAAGTTAGAATGACCGTTGATCTTCAATGCTTATGCAGATGAAGGTAGGGGCTACTTAAAGGCTACAGCGCTGTGTACGGACGACAAGCGGTAGAGTACATATATAGGGTTTAACAATAGGCAAGGCTGAGGGAGGGGCCGTTCACAGCTTGTCGACACAGCTCCCGTACCACTCGACCTCCGCGTCAGTGACTCCGTGGCTCGTGAGAATACTGAGGATGGCGGGGGAGGCCTGACGGGCGCGTTCAGGAGAGGTGGTTCCGGCCTGTGTACCGATCCAGATAACAAGGGGCCCAAGTGTCGACTTGCCCTCCTCGTCGCAGGAAGAGAAACGAACGGTCTTGAGCGATGCGTACTTGATACCGCTGGGTTCGAGTACCTCCTTGATGATATTGGGAGCAACGGTGTTGTTCCAGAGAGTCCTCGTGAGTATCTCATGGAACGCCCCGTTTGCCGCCTTGTTGGCGACTTTGAAGAACTTGGTCCCGGGGGTAGGCGCCGGAAAGGGGGCCTTCTGAAGGCTGGTACGGTAGTAGAGCTCGGGAACGTCGTCATCGTTTGGGCAGAGACCGACGTAGTAGTTGCGCCGCTCGAACTCCGAGACGAGTTCGTCGCCGACGGGGGTGAGAGCACTGTCAGAGGTGACGGCGACTTGCGACCAGTCACCGGAGTCGATCGTCGTGGGGGAGGTGGGGGACATGGGAGCCGGGGTGGACAATTTGGCAGCAACTTGAAGGCCCGGGATTGTGACGTTCTCCCCAGTCAGGACTATTAGACACAACGTCGTAAGGGGGGCAATCCTGAAAAGAAACTGAGAGGCTCACAGCCCAGAAGGTCGGGCATTTCCCGGATCGCACGGATCACGGCCGCGATAGACTCGGGAACGTCTGAGAGGAGAGGGCGGGCGGTAAGTAGGGGAAAACCGTGTATAGTGGCCAAGAGACTCACCATCGCCTTCGAAGCCAGCTTCGACGAGCTCCTCGTGGGTGAAGTCGATAAGTCCTATGGAAATTAGTCGATGGCCGTGGCCCGAAAAGACAGGGAGACCTGTAATCCTCACGCTTATCAGCAAGTTCGTCTCTCAGCCTAGGGCGGTTTCCTGGTTTGGGCATGTTGATGCGAGCAGAAAGATGAGTTGCAGACCGAGCTTGTAGCAGAAATTGAGATCGCAAAGTGCAATAGGGGCTTGGAATGCTGGGGGTCTGATGATGGCTGACGGGCGTCAGTCGGGTTTAGATAGAGACATTCCGCAAACGGGATTAAATAATTTGGGCCGTTCAGTCGGATGCAAGTTGGCACGTGTGCGGAATGTCTCTAACAAGTTAGTCCTGCAGTCAGACGCGTCAACGGCGTCAGTCAGACTCCTGACGCAATCACTTGCGTCGGGAGATGCGGCATAAGTCATTGAATCGTGGGTTGGGATGCGTTCAATGAACGTCGACTGTGAGAGTCGCAAGACATTCATTATGATGGTAGCACTTGTGTCCACAGTGGCAAATCGGTACACCCGACCTCTCATTTCGCTGCCTTCTTTCCTTTCTTAGCCTCCCTCTGCCTCTTCAACATCTCGAGCCGGCCCTTCAACGCGCTGACCCGCTCGTCTGCCTCCTCCTGAGCTCTCTCCTCCTCCAACAACCTGTCCATGATAAGCTCGCGGTCCTCCACTTCCTTTCTCCGCCTCTCCTGCTCGGCCCTCTGCTCCTCCGTGAGCTCGGGTTCGGGCTCAGGCTCAGCGGGGAAGCCCGATGTGGCACCATTTGTGATCAGTTGCGGTTCGGCGAAGACAGTGGCACGTGCGAAGGCTTCTTGTTGACTTTGTGCGGGGTCTGGTTGGGCTGAGGGTTGAAGTACGGTTTGTTGGAAAGCGGCCCATTCGTCGTCCAGTACGCTCTTAGGCTGTGGCGCGCTCGCCGGTGCCGTGGGAGTAGTACCATCAGCCATCTCCGCATCCTCATCTCCATCCTCTCCTTCGTCCCTTTCGGGTAGTGTACGCGTGGGATCCGAGAAGAAATCCGTCGGAAACCCTCCGTCCGCCTGCGCTGCTGGTGGCGAGTTCGTGCGCATCCTCTTCGCTTGCTGCTCATCTTCCTCGCCATCATCATCTTCCGCTCTCCTCTTGTCCCCCAACCTAGCTCCATCCCTTTCCTCCTCCTCTCTCCTCCGCATTTCTTCCTCTTCAGCCGCCTTCCTCCTCTCCGCTTCTTTCGCCTTCATGACATTCGTCCTATGGCCCTTGGAGCCCAGATGCCCTTCCCAAGCGCTGGCATGTTTGATCGACGTATTGCATATCGTGCAACGAAGTTGGCCAGAGGATGTATATGCTGCGTAAGGGTGTGTTATACGGACTTCGGCTCGTTTGGCTTTGAGTAGGGCGCGCGCGTCGGCCATAGTGTAGTCGGAGTCGGCGTTGGTGTGAAAAATAGATATTATTTCAACGACGTATAGTGGCAGTGAGCTGGTCCAATGGTGATATAAGTAGGCGTAGACGCGGTTGAGGTGGTGGTGGAAGGAAGCCGCCGCGTTCGTGAGTTGACGCGCTGACTTCGGGTTATCGGGCCGACGCGTCTTCGCGGTGAGTGAGCCGTCGCTCCGACTCGACGTCGCTCGCGCTGTTCGGCTGTGACCGCCATCATCCCCTTCTCGCATACTTACTCTCCATCTGAGCGTCAGGTTAATCGTCCAAGCTGTATCTTCACAAGTTATATAAGCCCTCATGCAGCCTCCCCCTTCACTCGTACCGTACTTAGGTCTACTTGTCACGCATGGATTCTTTGTGTAGCAAAGGCGGCGTTGACCATAAAATGGATCTATATCAAGACCTATCACCCATCTACACGCAAAATCTGTGCATGAGAGTACTCATATTGCCTGGACGTCTGGTCACCAACCTCGCCGCACGCCCTACGTACCTATCCTCGGCTCAATCCTTCCCCGATCGATGCTGACCAGACGATTCATGGCATCTCTAGCCTTTTTCTATGCTTGGTACGTACCCCGATGATTGAAAGAATGCACCATACTGAGACCGAGTTGCAGCACGTACTCGATCTCCGGTTCTGACTTGCTCACAGTGACTCTAGGCATGGCATACTGGGCGCATGCTCGAAGGAAGGCTCTTCACATTTTGCCCCAAGGTCCGCGATGGCACCGGCCGTCATTCGTGTTGGTGATGCCTTACGACTGCTGTACTTGCCGGGTGAAAGGGCCTCCCGCGTCGTCCACGGCCTCGCTTCCCCGCTGACCTGCCAAACACATATCCTATGACCGACCTCACACCGGGACCGAGCAACGCACCTGGCTGCAACACATGCGCCGATTCGAGCACCGCACATAGTCCAGATAACGCGTCAAGCTTGAGTACCACACCCGATACAAACGCCGGCACAGGCTCTGGCGTCACTCGTAGTTGAACGTCGCCAGAGTGAACTCGACAGAGCCGAGAAGTCGTTCGTTGTTCAGCTGGCTGTCCAACCTGCGCGACAGATTACTCGCGGTTTTTTGAGCGTAGCAAGACGAAGGGCGAGGGAAAGCTAGTGCGGCTGCGAGCCCATTCAGTCGCGCGCTCGGACAAGTGTACTTCATAAGGACTCGATGTTGAATCAAGATCGTGTTCAGGCGCGAACATATTTGATCGCCGTGTTTGTATGACCGAGGGATTGAGACTAGACCGATCAGGCGTATAGTAGAGTACATCCGATCATCATGAACAGCCCCGAGTTGGCCACAAGAGGACTTTTCAATATTATATCCGTCAAGCGCGGCAGAGCCTTCGCTGAATGACTCGCACGCAGGTCACCCAGCGTCGAGCGTGGGCGGAGGAAATCCGCGGCCGTGCGCGCGCCGCGCGAGGGCCGTGACCCTAACCCGACGGTCTCCCACTTTGACTTGCGACCACACCACGGATCATCTGTCGCTTACTCAATGCCTCTCAGACTTCAAGTAAAAGTACAGATCTGATAACATATGCGAACGATACACAGTCCGTTAAGCATACAAGTACAAGAGACCTTGTCAAAAAGTCGTAAATACTGCATAAGAAGTCATGTCCGTGCCAACGATGCCCATGGCCGTCCCGCTGACACTATACCCAGAGAGTACACCAACGCTATAGTGTGATACCAGAGTATGTCCTCTTCACCAAGAGGGTACGACCTCGCCCGGCGCGTAGAATACCCGACGATGACCCCCTGCAAACAGGTCGATACTTTGGCCCTGAGAAGGCAGCGAGCGCGGAGTAGACCCGACGGAGGAAGTTTGTATTCCCTGCATGTCCACAGGACGAGTGAAGGTGGGGCGCGAGTTGAAGCCAAGTGGGATGCTCTGTGTGAGCTCAGAGGAGTACACGACGTCGCCTATGCGCGCGCGTTTCGGGAGCTGCTTGACGGGAAGCTCCGGGGCTGGGCGAACTTCGTTCGCTCCTGCGGATAAGTCAGCTCCAGGTACGATATCGCAAGCGATTAAGAGTAACATACCTGTAACTCCAACTTCTTGCGCATCCTCTGCGTCTTTCTCGTCCTCTTCCATCCCCTCTTCTTCGTCGCTAGATTCCTCATCAACCGAGTGCGCCCGCTCCTGGACCCGCCTCCTCTTGCCAAGCGGCCTGTCAGGCCTGGGTACGCGCCACCCTTCCGCAAAATGGGCGCGCCAGTCGGCCGTGTCCTCATCCGCCCAAAGATCGACCGTCTTGTCCTCCTTATCGTCTTCCTCGTCATCGGAGTCAAAGCCGAAGGAAGAGGAAGACGAGGATGCGGTGGCAGAGGCGAGGGTGAGGAGGGACTGGACCTCGGCTACAAATACGGACTCGTCTTCGTCTTCGCTGTCATCAGCATGGTTGGCGTAGACAAGACCTTCGACCTCGGCCATGTCAACTGTGTCGCCACCACGCTCAGAGTGAACGGTGGCCATCTCGAAATCGGCCATCTCTGATTGAACTTCAATCAGCTCGGTGGCTTGATGAAACAAGAATGTCAAGAGACTTACCTTCGTTGACCTCGATGACGGGCGCTGAAATAGTATCGTGTTTGAGGACAGACGGCGTCGTAGCCGCCAGGGCAACGCTCGCGTTCGCACACCGCCTCCTGGGCGTGAACACCGGCCTCCGTATACTCTGCAGCGCGGCGAGCGTACTCGCGATCGACGCGCGCCTGTCGCGCATATAGCCACCAAGAGACGACGAAGTAGACGACATCTTCGACTTAGATCTGCTGTGGATGGTGGTGGTGGTGGTGGTGGTGGTGGTGGTGGTGGAAGTAAATGCGAGAGATGAAGGTGGGCGGTGGTGAACCTCCCACTCCCGCGTCCCAGGGCCAGGATTTATACTAAAAGCCCAACCGCAGCTGGTGGTTGACCGTGCGCTTGGCACGGAGTGTCGAATCGTGCGAAACACTATTGTCCTCTATGGCGTGGGAGAACCACGGTGGTTGACTACGTTCCAGATCAGCAAAAAGTATTGCCTTATCGGGTCTGCAATGGTGACCTGGCCCGGGAGCTATGACGACGACTATTCACTTGCCCGACTTCGCCAACCGTGACAGCTCGTCGACGAGGCGACGGTTGCTTGTACCTAAGGCGGTTCGTCCGATGTTGCAGGCCCTGCGTGGTAACGTGTCAAGGCGCTACAGAACGGCAAGGGAGAAGCACGAACTCAATCTAATCTGTTGGCATCGCCGTCCCACGGATCGAGTTTGCGAAGGCGGGGAACTGGCGCGCGCGTTCGTAGGCGAGTCTTCGTTATATGGCCCTAGCGATCTTTGTGGGCTGGAATTCTCTAAGGACACTGCCTGCAGGAGACTAAGTCGAAAGGGGCCTGCAGCTCGAGGTAAAGACATCGCTTTGCTGAGCGTTCAACGCCGACGGAAACCCGAAGTCATCTCTTGCCGCCGTCCCCAAGTGTCACTTGTCTGCCCAATTCGATGTCAGAGATATATCGCACCGGAGTCCAAAACGGATCACCTTACAAGGGAGTGCACTACCCTCAGCAGCACTTGCATCTCTTGATCCCCTTCCTCCTAGCTAGCAGAACCCCTGCTTGACTTGGACCAGCGCGCTTGGGCGTGCTCGTCAGCACGAACGTCCACGTCGCCGGTCTGCTCAACGGACTGAGGAGATTGCAGACTACCGCGAGCAACACCGGAGGCCCGTATCCCGGAGTGATGCGAGTGCGTTCCGATGCAGATACAGAATGCAGAGTATATGGTATTCGTGTTGCGCATATGCCATATGGCGGATTCTGGAATGCCAGTGACACACCGGGGGGAAGGGCGCAAAACGCGCGGGAGGGGTATCCACGAAGGTCAAATCCAGCATTTGCGCGCTGGCGACCAGTGTGGGAGCGGCGCCTAAGCTGGGGCGGAGGCTTGGAGTCCCTGCGCCCGTCGCGATGAGAACCGGGACGCTCACTGCAAGAGGCAAAGGACAGCGCGTCCGCGTCGCTATAGGAATGTATACGCTGTGATGGAAGCCCCATGACTGCCTCGAATAGCGCAGTTTGACATCATGTAGTAGGTGGAATATGCATGTCCTGCGAGTGTGCTGCGGGTTATCCTGATGGGATAGAGCAAAAGGGTCGCGTGCCGAACAGCGCCGAACGTGGCAGCTTGTCCGCGACAACCGTGACGTCCAGCTGCAGCAGCCGGCCATGCCCTTGCCACATCGGTCTGCGCTTCGAACTCTCCCTTTCGCGGTTCTGGACCAGTGTCGTCTGGTCGCTGGCTCGGGACGATGCCTTACATATTCACGCAAGAGAGGCGTCCCACGCTGGTACCTACGTATATGATGCCGCCCCGTATATATTGCGGCATGAATGTAAGAAAATATACTGTATGCAATTTATTTGAACCTATCAACCGGAGTACCCGAAGAGCCCATTTCAAATCTTCCCGGGATACTTCTCCGCCCACGTCTGACCTCTCGCAAACGACTGCGACCTCGCGCTCGACGGCTGCTTGCAAACGAATCGGCTGACGACCACGAACTTGTATGATCCCACCTCCTTCGGCAACGAGGTCGGCACTCCCAAGGTAATAGAGTATCCTGTAGGCAGCGAATGTTGGCGTTTCTCGAGGTACTTGTTGAATGCGACGACGACGTTGCCCGTCCATTCGATCTCGCCAGTGCGGAATGCCTGTACCAGGTATCCGGCAAGAGTCCTCACCGTCTCGGATCCGTGAGCCGAGCTCGCAGGCGCCACGATATATACGTCTGCCGCCATCTCCTGGTTGAGAAATGCGTAGTCGACGTGAAGTTGCGCGGGGAGCTCGAGCGTGCCATGGCCCTCGAAGTTGCTCTTGTCATCGCCACGGACGGTAACCCTCAACTTTCGTCCGGGAGTGAAGAAACCTGCGCCGCTGAAGGGGTGCATCGTCCTTTCTACGTAGTCGTCGAGTGTGAGCTTATAAAGGCCAACGGAGGGATCGAGGCGAGTGGGCGGGACGAGGGAGAGCACAGCACCGGCTGCGCTGAGCTGAACGTTCGGCGCCATCGTAAGAACGTGATCGATGTTGACGCTCTGGTTCGCGTGCGCGTAAACGTAGAAGGGAGTCTTCTCCGGGTATTTGATCGCCGAATCATAATCTCCGCTGGAGGCGAGTGATTGGTTGACAAGGATGTCCTGCTCACGTCTGAACGTAAACTTGACATCGGAGAGTAAGGACCTAGATTCGGGTTTAGTTTGCGTACGGGCAACTGAGAAGTGAGCCGACCATTGCGATGCGTAGATGTCCGGGAAGCCCTCGTAAATATCCGCCTCGAAGCTTCCCTTTGCGAGAACCTCATCCAGTGTACTTAAGCCTTGGAGCGTCTTACATGAGGTGTGCACTGTTAACACCGACGAGCGCTTCCCGTTGATCTTCTCGGTCTGCGCCTTCTCAAGCTTGACGGAGACGCGCAAGATGAGCTGCCGTTGGTGGTTCTTGATATGGAACATCGGAAGATAGACGAGGTGCGCCGAATACACGCCGGATTGCGAACCGGCGTGAAGGCCTTGAAGGATGAAACCGTGGATAGAACGGCGTGGTTTGACGCGCACGAGACAGTTCTTTGCATCAGGTCAGGTCAGAGTATCAGGTCATGGCGGATGGCGTACCGTGATCTCCTCCTCAGCTACCTTCCTGAACTCTGTCACCATGCCGGATAATAGGGTCTCAGCAACAGGGAAGGGATGCCTACGACCAATGAGATCCAGATCATCGCACGATATTATGTGCATACGTACATGGTTACGCTGGAGAGGGCCACAAGATCCCCCGGCCCCTTCACCTTCATGCGTGTCTTGAGAGTATCCAGCGCGCCCTTGTACGTGCTCGCCTTGAACCCGACGCGATTGAGAATGATGGGTCTGTCGGTGATGACGTCCTGACTCCGCCGGTGCACGGAGAGACGATCGTGCAGCCGTTGATTCAGGAAGTTCGCCTCTGCAACGTCGTCGTTGATGGCGCCACCCGCTTCGAGTCTGAAGTTGCAGACGAACGCGTTAACCACGGTATCAGAGCCTAGTTGGCAGAGCTATACATGAGTGAGCTGATGATAACTGGCGTGCTTTGGAAACTCAGGTCAAACCAGTCTCATCACGTCCGCGTCTTCCTCGAGATCCTCGTTCGCTCGACCGACGATCTGCTCCAAGATGTCGCGCTTCTGCTGCAGTATTTCATCCCCTGATGCATTGTCCTTGCGCTCAACGGGAAGCCTGTTGATTGCAGTGACAACCAGACGATCTGACGTGAGATCCATGGTTACCCAATGGCAGTACATCTATCCATCGAAATGAGATAAGATCCACGACGATCGGGTGAGCGAAGCACTCACTTTGATAGCCGTCAGCATTGCTGTACCGAGCAAGTGGGCGTAACCGCCTTCGTCGTCCCTTTCAAGTCCGATAACTTCATGAGATAAAAGTATAGACACAGCGGCGGCACCAGGCTTGCTGTGAATAACAGTCAGAGCAGGTTTGACGAGCAGAGCGTGCGATCATACCTTCTCTCGATATACGTCCCCGCATCATAGTCCGCTCCAGACGTGCTTGTCCAGTGTGTGAGAAACCTGAGACGACTGTCGCGCATACAGAGAACGCCCGCCGGGCACGATGCATAGCCAGACTTGAGCGGATCCACTGTGACCGAGCTGAGAGGTAGTATGACATCAGACGTCCCATCAAACACCGTTATGTATAGACTCACTCAACACTGCTTAAACCGCCGAGCTGCGCATGTGTCCATGGACTCAGGCCGATGGCATGCGCGTCGCGCTTACGATCCGACGGCACCTGCAACGTCGCGCGGTGGACCTTGCACGCGAGATATCCGCCCAAGGCGGCATCGGCGTGTATCATGAACGACAGGCCTCTTCGGGCCATATCCTCGCGAAGGCCAACAATAGCGTTGACTGGATCGACGGCGCCGTGCTCTGTGGTACCTAGAGTGCGACAGGTCATGCAATCAGTTTGAGTCAAGGCGATGACCTGTGCATGTTCTCACCGCATACAGCCACTACACAGAAGACAGCTTGCTGTTTCCTGAGACAGGTGTCTAGCCGTCCTTTGAGTTCATTGACATCCATGCGCATATCCCCGTCGACGCCGAGCTCGATCAAGTTGCCACTGCCGCTACCGGTGATAGCGCACCCCTTCGACCAGCTGTGGCGGTTGGCGACCGAAACAAAGTACACCGGGGGCTTTGTAATCCCGAACTCTGCGTCGAGCCTTTCCATTCCGAGCGTGTGTATACTGAATGGGCGAACGATGTCAGAGAGAGCTTCCGAGGAGATGTTGTAACGTTCGTATAACTGGCCCGGTATGCGGGCGATCGTCAACGAATCGAGATTGAGCAGCTCCCAGGATGTGCAATCGTAGAAGAGCTTAGGCTCTGAGCTAGTACGCAGCCTAATGGTGAATGTAGTCTGGACGATCTTGAGGGAGGGGTCTTCATCCATCGCCTTATGCAAAGACAAGGGATAGTACTTGAGGTTACGTGCTATAAGGAGTCAGCCCAGTTTATGTGCAACCCATTTTGGAACTGACCAATCCTGTCAAGTGATATAAGCCTTTTGTATAGGAGCGCGCTGTACATAGGAAGGAATACTCGTACAGCATAGACTCAAGATTCGCGATGGAGCTGTCAGCCGTGATGTGTCCCCAGCCAAACACGTCATTGTGGCTTGGGCGCGCAGGTGCAGGGCCTGTCGAGTCGAGAGTGTAGCCAAGGATATGACAGAGTTGCTGTGCGACGGTATACTCGATGTAATCGGTGAACGAGCCGGCCTCAGATGAGGCGCTGTCTTGGTTGTATAGCTGAGCAAGAGCGTATCCAAGTAGTGCGGGTACTGTCAATGATTAACTTTATGAGAAGAGCGCGACTCAGATCGAAGTACGTAAGAGACACACCAGATGAATCGGTACTCGTATGGCCAGCGTTCCGGAGGGAGTGAAAGGGGACGCTCGTTGCGGAGAGTTCGGTCGCGAGCGCGGAGAGGCAACCTTCGAGGTGAGCTACGCTAGCCTTAAACTCGGGCGACTTCTTCGTTGCGGTAGTAATCGTCTCCTGTGGGATGAAGGGATAAGCCGAGAAAACACGTGGCAGAGTAAAGTATACGAACACTATCGTTAGACCATATCTCCTGTCGAGCAGATTGAACGTCCCAGATAATGGACGCCATACTCTCTTGAAAGATGCGAGCATTCTCGCCTCGGTTTCCTAAGAACCACGCGCCCATTCGATCCAGTCTCTCCTGGCGAGCTGAGAGTGTCACCATCAGTAGAGTGACAAGTATGATGAATGTTGAGGTGCATACAGAGCTCGTTGTAGGGCTTCCCAGGGCCTCGCGGAAAGATGGAGAGTGTAGGAGTAGGCATCTTGCAAGGCGGGGCACGTCGCTACTGTGTACACTGGCCCACTATGGTCTTTTGTAGTAAGACGCCGCTGAAGCACGCAACCGCGAAGCATTGTCGACTCGGCGCCGGACAAAGGTCGCGCGCTCTCGACCTTTTAGATAGAGCATTCGACGTCGAAGCGAAGTATACCACTTGAGGAAGAAAGCGATGCAGGATTGTATTCACTCTGGAGCTTTGACAGAAAGGCGTGTGAGGCCGTAGCAAGGAGAGGCGAGTCCGAGGTTGTCTTTGACAGTCCCGATGACTACACCGACGGCGAACTCTGAGCCCACTCTATCGTCCGAGGGTGAAAAGGCCCTTCTGTATACATTCAGTCCTACGGTCGAGCTCCACAGTGTGCAGGGATAAGTGCCGGCGATCAAGCACGTCCATTGATGCGGTGTCTATCGAAGCAAAGAATCAGCACTGGTGGACCTTGGAGCTGCGGCGTATTCGATGGACCATGCCCGGGGACGTACAAAACACGCATCCATGTCCCCCTTTAGGTGCCTCTAGATGCGGCGACGGGCGTTGCTCGGGAAAGAAGCTCATTTGGCCATATTTAACCCGGGTGGCGTCGGTGAAGCGAAGGACCAACAGAACGCAACAACTTTCTGATAGTCAAAGCGTATCGTTGCGCCCCTGTCAATTCAGGTAGTCTGCGACCATGGCTATGCTCGACGAGCTCTCCTCACCGCTGGAGACCTCCGTATTGACGGCAGACATCAGGCCGTCTCCTGTCAACCCGGCTACACACAGGTTTAAGACTCTGATAGAGCAGACTTGGGTCTCGCGTTGTGCGTAGACTCCAGGATGCTCCAACGGGGAAACAGAACAGATGTTGATTGAGGAGGCAGTCCGGCGCTGCGGGGCGTTCAGCGCTCATCCGGGGTGATGTTGAAAGCAAAGTGCGTTGTAAGCGCCGGTTGTGGAGATTTAGGAATGTCTATCGAAGCAAAGAATCAGTATGAGTCGACTTCGGCATTGCGGCGTGTTCCAGGGACCATGCCCGAGGAAGTGAGAGACCAGCTTCTATCTTACCGTAGCCACCTCTAGATGCGGCGTTGCTCGAAGCAAATCTCATCTGACTATGTTTACCGCCGGCAAGGTCGGTGAACCCTGGAGAAGTAACAGGACCCAACAACTTTCTGATTGTCAAAGCGCATCGTCGCACCCCTTTCAGTTCAAAAAAAAACTGAACGCCTGAGGTCGAGGCCTAAGGCCATGGCTATGCTTCATGGGCACGGGCGTCGCTCGAGGCCTTCGTCTTTGGCGGGAGCCGTCACGGGCGCCTCACTTGGAAGCCGCCTACACGTGGAGCCGCAAACGACAAAAGGAACTGAGAATTGACGAGTGACATACATATTACGAGCCTTGCTTCATAGCGAGAATAGAATAAGCGGGAAGATACGATGCTATTCTGGAACTCTGGGGTGCACAGTGCTCATCCGAGGTGGACGCCGAAGGCAAGAAGCGCCGCGATCGCTGTCAGACTAAACGCGTCTACCGGCCCGGCCGCCCCGACGCTCCTTGGACGCTGCTTGTCACTGACGGCGACGTTCCGCCACTCGGGCTTCTCCCCTGGACCCTCGACGAGCTTCTGACTATCGGGAATAGTTCCGACGTATATCGCACTGTGTCTCCACGTGAGACCTGTACTTTTGCTTTACACGGCGCAAGATGTTGGAAACGCGTCTCGCCGGCCAACTTTTCCGGAAAACCTGTACGGGCACGGGCCGTGCATTCTGGGCACCCTACAATAATCCCATCCGGCGACACTCCACAAGCGCATCTGGGCTTTTTGCAGCCTATTTCTCTTCCAACCAGCGCTGGTCGAATATTTCCGCGCGCACCGATGCATTGCCCCTCCCCGCATTCGACCCCGTGCCCCCATCTGCACTACGACCCTTGCCAACCCTCACACCAAGTCGATTGATAACAACATATTCGCAACTGTCAAAGTCGCACTTGACTACGCTTGTGGTGTTGACGGCCATGGCGCCCGTTGCACTTTCGCCTTTACCAGCGAGCGTCACGGTTCTGCTCGCTACGGGCGCCGGGACGGCACTATGCTCCGCGTCGGCCAACGCGCTGAATGAGCTTCAAGAAGCGCCGTTCGACGCGCAGATGGGAAGGACACGCGGAAGACCGCTCGTGAGGCGGATCATCAGTCCCACGCATGCGGCACTGTTCGCCGCGGGCACTGGCATCGCAGGGCCGGCCATTCTCTGGGGTTTGGTCAACCCTACAACAGCACTCCTGGGCGCAGCGAACATCGTGCTCTATGCCGGGGTCTATACGGCTATGAAGAGGTTCACAGTGTGGAACACCTGGGTCGGATCCGTCGTAGGAGCAATACCTCCGTTAATGGGCTGGACGGCCGTAGGCGGACATCTCCTTCCTTCAGCCGACCACCCTGTCACTCTGTTCCTCCCACAATGGTTGAGCAGCGCGCCAATGCCAGATCTGACGCTCGTGGACAACCCCCTCGCACCACTCGCGCTGTTCTTGTTGATGTATCATTGGCAATTCCCACACTTCAACGCTCTAGCACATTTCGTGAGGAACGCGTATGCGCAGGGTGGATATCATATGCTTAGTATCCTCGATCCGCGCCGGAACGCGCTCGTATCACTCAGACACACTGCCTTGCTCGCGGCATTGTGCACCATCCTCGTTCCGTTGAGCGGGTTGACAACATGGACGTTCGCTCTGACGAGTGCGCCTGCACACGCAGTGCTGTTACAAGCGGCGTGGAAATTCTACAAGCAGGGAGGAGAGGCGCATGCGAGGAAGCTGTTCCATCATAGCCTATGGTACCTGCCAGTTGTGCTCGGCTTGATGATGGCGCATAAGCAGGGGATGGAGTGGACGAGCTGGGTGGGAATGGGTGGTGAGGAGAAGGCCGAGGAAGAGAGCAAGAAAGGGGAGGTGGAGAGTGCTATCTAGTATACACCTTTGTATCATACTTTGAATTAGATGTCGCTACCGATCTATTGCTGAAAGCTATCACGCAGACGGCATACTCATATCGTCCCGGCCCTTCGATCAACATGATCAGTGACATTCTGTCCTCTGATTTCGATTTATACAGCAATTATCGCGCGAGACGGATCTATGTACTGGAGAGACATCAAGAAGCGTTTCAGTACTGATCCTCACAGGCCATTGCAGGCCTTTCAGGCCAACACATCCACGTCCAAAAGGGCTGGGTACGCGGCTCCATGCAACGCGGGCCCTGCGAAACCTGTGATTTCGAGCGCAGGCCATGTATCGTCCGGGCGCGCGCGTTGCCCCGACGAGGATACGGAATGCCGGAAGCCTTCTACACGATACATTGGGTCAGCCGTTGAGCTTGCAAGGCAAATCACAGGACGGAGTAGACTCACCGAGGGTGCCTTCAGCATCTACATGAGCGCGCCTAGTACGCTCGTTCGGCCGCGCAGTAGCCGTCTCACGCGTGGACCCATACATGGGAAACCACTCATCCTTGCCCTCCTTCCCCGATGGTACGATAAGCTTCCCCGGAAACACCGGCACATCGCGCACGAGGTCTTGTGGTAGGGGCGTGATGGGCCGCATGAGCGGCAAGAGTTTGATCATGCTCAGAAGATGGACAGGCTCCGGCTCGTGGTCCCAAGGTGCGCGAGGCGGCTGGAGTGGCTTGGTATAGCCTAAGGGTGAACCGGGAAGAGGGGAGAGCTTATACCGCGGCACGTATACGCCTGCTGCAATGTGCACCAGCTCGTCCATGTCGTGTCCTTCGCTGCCGTCGTCCAAGCGCTTATCGCCGGACGTACCATTGGCGGCATCTAGTAGGATCGTGAACATAGTCCGGGTCAGTACGAGCCCATGGGTTATGGCGAGCTCAAGTGCACTGACCGTATCGTTTGATGAGTTCCAACCACTCGGAAGCATTGTATGTCGCTGGACTTTTATCAAGGTGCTCGTCGTAGAGTCCGAGGTAGCTATGCCAGCTCGGGGCGTGTGTCGCCTGGGCATCCACGGGAGTTTCGATGTAGTCGCTATCATCCGACGACGACGGGGCAGTATACCACGACGAGGGCGAAGATGCAGCAGAAGGGGACGCAGAGGTCGAGGAAGGAGCGGACATGGCGTGCGCGTAGAGGATTCAAAGGGGTCTTGCGCTCGGGGCGGTGGGCGGGGTCAGAGTGCTTGATATCTTCCATGTAGTCGAGGATCCGGTCGTATTTGTACTGTACAGGACGTGGTTGGTTCAAAGGACACACCTGTGCCATCTCAACCATTGTTCCTCGTGCAAGTGCAAATGAAAGAACCACACTATCGCACCATGGTACAGTGACAACGAGCGTGAAAGGGGTTTTTCGTTGATGTGATCTTAGGACGTATCGAGTTCATAAAAGGTTATCTCAGAGGTTTGAAGGTCATCCGAGGGTGAAGCGTGGCAATATGAGCCGATGTAGACTTACAGTGCGCGACGTGTGCTTGTAGTGTGGATGTGGTTGAGCAGTTTGGGTGTGGTTAAGAGCGGGGATTCGGTCCGAAGTGGCCGGTGCCACTCTGATAAGCAGCACTTCGAGCCGGACCATGTCTGACTGTCTCTATGTAGGCTCTCACAGTAGCACACAGTCCTAGACACGTCAAAATTTTCCATATAACATTTTGTAGGGGTGTTACAGGCTCAGGAAGATATCCGAAGTCAAATATGTTGAAAACCGCGTTGATCGGTGCGAAGCATGACATCGAGGCAGCTTCTCCCCCACTGCGACCGAGACGCAGAGACGGAGCTCATTGGCTGAGGGCAACACGGCTGTAAAGCGGTCATCAGGACACTAGGCAAAGATGCCAACGAGAGCAGCAACTTACTCTCGGATTGTGTCGTGTAGGAACTGGTAGCTCCGCAGATTCCCTTTCAGCCGGCGGATATCGAGTGAATATGCCCCAGCAAGCGAGGTCGCGTGTGTGAGCTCGAGATGGAAACGAACCTACATCGAAAGGTCAGTCTCCTTCAGGAATAAGGTGAAGATATTGGAGCACCTCGTCGCCCACGTCGTATAACGGTTCTCCGTAGATAGTGTTGCCCTGGCCGTTTTTCGTATTCCTCCCAGGCCTGACACACCGTAGTCTGTACCTGCGGTCGTCCTCGACGATGATGCCAAGGGAGTCCAACTCAGCGCGGACGCTCTCCATGACGAGCAACGGTGCCTCGGACGTCACCATTGCCTGGTCTAATGCGCCGTGATGCAACCTCATCCGTTCATCTCCCGATTCCTCCTGAGGCGCCACCGCCTTTGCGCGAGGAGGACGCGGAGTAGATCCTGCCTTGCGAATAGAACACCAAAGATGCACGAAGACCGGGTAGAGCGCGCATCCAGTAACAATGCCCATGGAATAGGTCGCCATATAGCCACGGCTGGGTGTCTTATCGGATGCGCCCATGGTAACTGCGATCGCTCGAGGTGGGTGGATAGAGCAGAGGACGATGCAACGCGCCGTTGCCAAAAGCCATTGTCCTCTGATCTCGCCGTGCTTGATTGACGCGCGGATAAACTCTGCGCAGCCTACAGAGGGATTGATAGGCGCCGTTCGCCAGCGATGTTGCTGTATCCGCAGGCCGGCTCATCGTCCTGAGGACAGCGCGTTGACCTGACGAGTCCGTATTTCAAGCCACGGCGTAGGCTCACGCCGGAGGCAGCACGGGCCGAAGCAATCCCTATCCGATACGGTCCGGGGGTTGGACACTTCGGGCTCTAGACGCCCAAGGGAACTATTCGTGGGAGGACGGTCGTGGTTCGCGACAAGCCGTGTGCGGCGCGCCGGAGCGCGCGCTTGTGCCAGTGCGCCTTGTCTGCAGACGCCCAACATACCAACATACAATAGTTCCATGACGGTGGTCATACTCCATGCCTACGACATGAAATGCCCCAATCATCTCCTTGTGTGTCGCACGGGCGCTTGAAGGCTTGCTGGAGGCTTTCGTTTACGCCTGTTTACGCAGACCATTCAACTTGAAGAAATGAATGTCGCTCGCAATCCTCCGCCAAGATTTGAGCTCCCGAGATCAAAGTGCGTATCTCTATGTCCATACGGTATCCATACGGTATGCCCATTTTAGCCACGTCTACTATGTCAATCTCAACCCTGAATACCAGACAAAACACGTGTAAGTATATCGGATGCCGAATAGTTTCGACCTAGGGAAATGGGCACATATGCAGGCAACAGCCTTCAAGCCACAAGATGTATAGGTAATCAGTTTCGAAGTATGTGCACGAGATTCCCAGAAGCTTATGAAACGAACAGTCCGAACCCCAGTTCGGCTGGTCGAACGACCGCTGCGGTGTACGGTTCCCACGCAATGATGCCCTGAAGATCCAGCAGAGGTGAAGGTGCATCGATGCGGACGCGTTTCGTGGACGACGGCGATGCATCATGCCCGAAGTCTTCTACACGACAAACATATCAGCGTCGGATCCTCAGCAGAAATCGCGACGGTGTACACACCTGGATCGACGGTATCCTCGGCATCATCTCCGCGTTTACGCTTGTTCGACCAGGCGCGCGCGGTTGCGACCTTGCGGGGCGACCCATACATAGGGAACCACTCATCATCACCCTCATCGACCTCGGCCCTCGCTGCGGTGCGCGCGGTAGCCGTCTCGCACATGGAGTGGTACATCGGGAACCACTCATCCTCGTCCACCTCCGCTTCGCCATGTGCAAGCAGCGGTGGTGGGGTATCGCCGCACGAAGGGAGGGGCAGCTCACGGAACTTGTACCGCGGAGCGTGAACGCCGACTGCGACGTGGATCAGCTCGTTCGGGTCGGCCATTTCGACTTCCAAGTCCGAATACGAGTACAAGGGCGCGGGTGTAGGTTCGAAGGCGCCGATATGGGGATCTAGGCCGGGTTCAATCGTCAGTATTCAGATCTAGAGCTGCTGGAACTTGGGAAGTACTGACAATCATCAAGTGAACGGAGAGAGTCTAGGACGTGCATAAACACGAAGGGGTTATCGTCTTCTTCCACCTTGTCAACCGCGAGGTCGGGAATGTGCGTGCCTGGGGCTTGCACGGGGGTCTCGATGTAGTCGCTGTCATCCGAGCATGATGACGTCGGGGTGTAGCACGACGATGAGGACGGCGATGATGGAGACGACGCCGCCGAGTACGCAGCGGCAGAAGATGGGTGATGCGAAGAAGCAGCGGACATGGCGCGTGCGATGATTCGAAAACGCGTATGGCTGTTAGGAGAGTGGGCGGCGGGGGGCGAGGAGTGAGGTCAGGAAGCTTGTTACCCTCTCCCGCCGACGATCGCGGTCGTATTTGTACTGTACAGTTCAAAGGACACGCAAACTGGCAGTCTTTCAACCTTGACCATTGTTCCTGTGATCTTTTCGACATCTCGAGGCTACCTGAGAATTCACAACAAAGAGCCACGCGCCGCCACGAGGCTCGAGGTGGAATAAGAGGGGGAAACGTTTTGAGTCGATGTGATATGAGATCTGAGGGCGTGTCGGGTTCATAGAATGTCATTTGAGGGCGTATGAGCTCATTTCATGGGGTATCGTGGGGTCTGGATATGGGGTCGACTCGGAGTGCAAGTGTGTGTTCGTAGTCTTGAACTCCGAACAGTGCGGATGGCAGGTTCGGGGAGTCGGGCCGGTGCCACTCCGTCCAGGCGCATGCACTTGGTGCCCGACCGCCACTTGTGGTACGGGGTACAAAGGAATCATGCGCGGAGCAAGGGGCGGTGCCGGTGACGTATGGGAGACACACGCTAGCGACGCATGATTGAAAGACAGCAGACATTTTATCAACGCTCATACATAGGAACGATGCATAGTGAATTCTAGTTTGGCTGCCGCGTATAAGCCGAGCGTTGCTAGTTCTTTAGCTACAAAACGTAGAGATCGAATATCATAGCGGATGCCCTCAGGCCAGAAACTGCCCCTTCCAGGCCGCAGGAAGGCGGTAGCGTCCTACGTCCAGGTGAAAACGGCTACGTTATGAGATGAGCCGGGGGTATTCAGTAGTCGAGAGAGACAGTCCACGGCTTACATATATCCTTGCTGATACTCCTTGAAGGCCTTGAGAGCAGCCGGAGAATCTTTCAGGATCTGCTCCGCACGCTTGGCCACCGCGACTGTCTCGCGCGAGACATCTTCTAAAACTTCAATCGGCGAGCGGCCGGAGACTTGCGACATCATCTGACAGTAGTTAGTCTGTTCGCCGTCCATATCCTCTTTATAGTAGCTGACAGAGTTATTAGCATGCATGAACCAAGGAGCGATGAAAAGATTGATGCACGTACCTCAGAACATCGTTCAAGAAGTTGGTGAATATGAGCATTTCAGGAATCGCTTGGATGTAGTTGACCAAGTCGGGGTGGTTCTTCTTCGGGAAGCACGCAAACGAGTAGAACACAGAAACACCTTGGTTAGGCACGAGCATTAGTACAATGACCAGCCTTCTATAGATGTCTACGTACCGCTCAGATTGCGGACGTAATATGGCCAAAGCTTGGCGTCCATCTTCGCCGGCAGTTCCTTGGTGACCGCGCGCACTTCCAGACAGTTGACATCCATGTAGGCGCAGCACGACATGATCATGGCCCCAGCGACGTACTCCTCGTAGTGGTCATAGAGCTTGAGCATATAGGTGGCGTAGCGATCCAGAACGGGGTTCAACTGAGGGAGACGCGAGTAGAAGCGACGCTGAAACTCAGCGAGCGCGTTCACGATCGATTGAGCCACACTGTCCACCCAAGTGAGGCATCTAAAGACATTGTCGTGAGCCTTGTAGTTCAGAATCTCAGATAGGCTCTCTTACGCCGTAGAGATGGCCATGATGAGCTTCATGTCAAACTCATGCGAGGGATAGAAGAGCTATGCGACCTCTTCAGCACGTACTAACGCGTGGGAATGAAGGAGATGAGATCAAACCTCAGCAGCTCCGAGGCCGACGTCGAGATACTTCAACACGTCCTCGAGGCTTTCGCCCAGATCCCACGAAGTGAGCTCCTTGATAGCCGCGTCCTTGAGGATGGGATCTCGGGTGGAAGGAGGTGGCGAGTAGCCAAGTGAGCGTATGAATGCCGCAGCTATTTGAAGAATGGCGTCGCCGTTACTCGGAACAGCTTCACTACACGGAAGCTGGATTGGAAGAGTGCCGCTTGGTTTGGTAGGAATCGACGAGGTCATGTTGGCGTGTGTGAGTATGGGCGTATGCCTTGGAACAATGAACAAACTTGTAGATGGAGGGAGCGATGCTACAGACATTTATATCAGTACGGAGACCTAGCAGGTGCTCTGAATCCTCCGGATGAATTCATCAGCGACTGTCATGCAGACGCAGAGACATGATTCGCCACAGTTGGTACTTGGTTTATGCGCCACGCAACCTTGATTCCACTTGTCTCAGGCATGTTCACTAGCTCAGTGTGGCTGGCCATTCACAGGAAGTAAAATTTGCTCACCAGCGTTTGAGAGATACATGTCTCAATGCGCCACACAACAGGAAAAGGCCTTATCGCATGTCCGAATCGCCTCGGACTCAATATGTCATAGGCGCTTGAACTGTAGCTTCTTAGCACTCTGCATGGTACAAAACAGGGGAGGCATTCCTCACACAAGCTAATCACGCTGGCGCAGTGCTCGCCGTCGAGTTCTGGAATGCGTGAAACGGCATTTCAAGACGTAGCGAGGAAAATGTGTTCGAGCGAGCGAATAGGTCGGAGTTGTGCATGGATACGTCAATCAAGGAAGGCATGCAGCGAGCATAATATGCTGAAGCGTTGAAGGTTCAGGTTCGTGTAGAAGATGTGCGGTCATGCTGCGTCCAGTATGGCCAGTAGACTGTTGAGGAACAATCAGCATTGAATCTTGATCGACGAATGATGAAGCGCCGAATGAGTATCGTCCATCCATCTAACTCGCTCGCTCGCGCCAGCTCGGCGCGAGACCGATCTTGAGTGCACAACGTATGAGCGCTCCGAGGAAAGTGCGAAGAGCGCCAATGATATGCATACACAGCATCGCACACAGCTCGTATGGGTTCTCCGTGCATGGCGCCTTCATTCATGGGCCACCGTGTCCTTCGGCTAGTGACATACCAAGTCAGCCGCAAGCATAAAAGTTGCCAGTATGGACACGAACCAGAGCACCATCGCATCCGTGTCTGCAGTGCCAGTCACGCCCGTCTGCCTCTGCAGTCTATCTCAAAGCCCTGTTTGGCTTGCACCTAGAACCTGGACACAGAGCGGCGTCATTATCGGCGTCAGTATAGTTCTCAAGCGCACAGTGACGAAAGTTAGCGTCATAGATGTTATTGAGGACAGGTCCACGGTGCCGTAGGACTTCCTCATCCCGTGGACCGCCTTCTCCTCGCATACCCGGTTCGCATGAAGCACCGGTTGACTCGTATCTTCTTTCAGTGCTTCGATGGCATGGACCATGGACCGTCCGGTACAGCGCGTGACCGAAAAAGACCTTCAAGACATGCTTTACGACACAGCTGCGGCGGCCGATCCTCGGTACTGCAGTCTTCGCAGACTTGACGGTCCTGATCATATTCGTAGATTCGGTGGCGCAGGAAGATCTCTTTGGAGAACAGAAAGCGAGAAGTAGTGATGATTGGGCAAAAGTGAGGCTGACTGGACCATTAGAGTCTCGCTCACTCATCGAGCTACACACAGAAGACATCGGGGCCGGTACAGCTCACAGGCGCCGCCCGTGGAAGCCAAGATGCCGTTTGTATCGTAGTAGCAACAAAGGTTCGCTCTGGAGCTTGGAGTCCGGAGGTTACTATAACGAAGTTGATGTCGAGGCATGGTGGTCAGGACGAAGGCGCGGCAGATGGTGTCGACGCGCGCTGGAGCAGAGCTCGAGCGGGCCGGTTGATCCGAGGCCCCTGCCATGAATACTCCAAAGTATATTTGCGAACCCCCACTATCGCTATGCACCACAAGACTACATTGCAACATCTAAGTGGGATATAGTAAGGGTAAAGTGCTACTCTGACTTGAACAACAAAGGGATCTTCTCAAAGTGGAAGACATGCCCGCGCACTCTGCGCGCATATCCGAACACGTACACGATAGCGCCCGTGCCGACCGCCGAAAGCGATGCAACAGCGGCGAACTTGTACTCCGTCGGCTCGTGCCAGCCAATCGTGAGAGCATATGCGGCCAGCGATGCAACATTCTGCAATGCAATCTGCAGCGCCGCAAGCGTGTTCGCGCGCGGGTGAGTATCGAGCGCATGCTGAAGTTGTGCCAATTGCGCGAGATCAAAACTCCAAAGGCCAATGCGAGAGAGCGCCATGCCGCCGAAGAGAAGTGCCGAGCTCCAGGGCGTGCGATGGCGGCGCGTGTCTACGAAAAGGCTGACGACGGTCGGGACTAGCGCGAGCGTTTCTGACCTATAAGATACGACCGTGAGTGCACCGTCGCCGAGGACTTACACATGATAACGTACCAGATCGACCAGCTTGCGGCACGCGTTAAGCCAATCCACTTGTCAAGGAAGGGCATCGCAAAGGTCCCCGCGAGCCCCATTAGGACGCATAGGGCCCGCATTCCCGCGACGAAGGGATCAGAGAAGTCCGTCGCGGCCTTCAGGTAAGAGATGAAAATCCCATCGAATGAGAGTACAGTCATGTATAGACACGCCGCCGACAGCGAACCTGGAGATGTGTGATGTGCGTTCATCTCGGAGAGTCGGGGTGGCTACTTGACACATACTCAGAAAGATAGGATGCGCGGCGAACTCGCGCCAATCGCGCGCCTGGCGCTTGAAGATCTTCGAAGTCCGCCTCGACATCGTCTGTCTCGAGGTTCTTTCCGCGGGCTGTTCTGTTCGCGCGGGTCGCGGCTCCGCGAGCGCTGGGAACCTCCGGTATACAATCTCCAAGAACACGAACTCAAACGCCGCTGTACCGACCATGAGCGCCAATAGAACTGCTGCGCTGACAGCATATCCTGCACCAGCGGTGAGCCCGCTGACAGCGAGTGGCGCCAGAAGTTTGCACAGCAAGTCGATGCGGCGTAGGCGGCCGTTGAGAAGTGTCAACTGCTCGTGCCTGCCCTTCGCAAGGGCGCTGACCCAGTCACGCTCAATCGCAACGGTTGTACCAGCGGATGATAACGCGAGTAAGCTACCCATGAGCGCGATTGGCGCGAATGTCGACCATAATACCGTGGTAGACGGTGTATGCGGGCGCGTGAAGAGTATCAGAAAGATGGTGTAACTGAGCGACGCGCAAGTTTTCTGCGATATGATCGTCATTCGAGCCGCGCGTAGGCGCGGCGAGCGGTCGACGAAGATGCCGACGGAGCTGATTACATAGAAAGACGCATGAGCGAATGTACCAGGTCGTCAAGGGTACCGGTAGACTTACCCCGCCAGTAGTATGCCCGCTGCTGTAGTGATGAAGCCATACAGAGAGGCAGGCAGGAGCGTGTTCTTGAAGAGCTCAATGCTATAGCAGGCCGCTGAGTCGCTGACCTGTATGCTTCAAGTGTATGTACACTTACAGGTATAGAGGAAAGGCAAATTCAGCGCTTCGCCCTCCCCACGCACTGTAGTCCAGGTCAGCGGTGAAGACTCTCGTAGCAACACAGAGCTTACCTTGAAAGGTGCTGTATCGTCAGAAGCCAGACACCGATGCCGTCCAAACGGTCGGACTCGTCTGAGGGAGAGTTCGTTGGCTCCTCTTCGACCTCAGCTGCGACGGCACCTGAGCCTCTGGTAGAGACAGGGCTCGGTCCACGAGAATGCTTTGCAGCATTGGCAGCAGTGGAGGAAGTCGGATCGTCGTCAACAGGCGCGGCAGCGCTTGAGCTCGCGGCGCCTAGCGACTGGAGTACGATGGAATCCTCAGCCTCGTTGACGCTCTGCGGGCGCCTGATCTCTGGACCGGCCACTTCGAGAGCCATTCCACCGTCTCGGGAAATCGCAGCGAGTGATGTGGCGATTGAAACGAAGGAGCGGTACAGGGCGAACGCATGCTAGTCCAGCTGGCGGAATCGTACCATCACAGTCAGAGCTTGACACGATCACCTGAGATAAAGAACAGCGAGACAGTCCGGGTGAGCTATGTAGCGGTAGAGCGTATATTCTCAGTATGGGTTTGTAGTACCCGCACAGGACGCGGACAAGGAGCGTACATCATGGTCGCAGCCGAGTCTCGAAACGCGCTCATACGACGAACACCGGCACGAGCGGCTTTAGCCGATGACGCGGTCTCATGACTTGACCGTAACGTCCAGAGGACGCGATTACCGACGTGGATGCCAGTCGGGTGATGCATGATCGTCGGCGATGTGGTCAGTACTTTCGCGCATAGATATGTCCAATTGGGTCATATTGCAAGGTGAGCTACAAGTGTACAGGCAGGGTTGGGGAGCAGAGCAAGGACGAGCGGAAGCAAGTGGGGATACAGCAGAGGGACAGTACAGACAGCGTTTATGTCCGAAATCTTGCAAGGATACACGGAAGAGTACAGGGATGAGGGAGTATGCGATGACTACAGGGTACAGAGGAGTTAGCAGATGATTATGCATTGAGAGAGAGAGCAAGAAGAGCAGAGCATGTTGCTACCAAGAGAAAGAACATATACACTGTCCAGACACGTACAATCGAAAGCGCGCAACAGAAACCGTACCACAACATACATACCTAGTCGTCACTTCCCTCGCTTCCACCAAGCGCAGGCGACGACCCACTCCTACCTCCACTCCCACTCCCACTGAGAGCACTTCCGCCTGTTCCACCACTACCGGACAATGAGCTCCCTGTTGTACTCGCACCGCCTCCAGACGAGCTGCTCGCACCGCCTCCACCGCCCCCACCACCGCCAGCAATCGAGCGCGACTCATGCACTAGCGCTTGGCGCGCTTCCGCAAGCTCGCGGCCGCGGGTGTCAAGCGCCGAGCGGTGCGACGCCAGGCGGGAGTGCAGATCGGAGAAGAGCGAAGTCTTGCGCGTCATATTCGTAACAACCCGCTCTATGAGCCCATTGAATCTCTCCTTGAGCTCGTCTCCACCTTGCTCCCAGTCTTCGATACTGCCCTTGGACCAGCGAGCGTGCTCTTTTTCCCAGACCGCAGCTAGATGTGAAGCCTGCTCAGGCGCGAGCGGCATATTGATGCGGCGGAACAGGCCACCAGTGGGGTCTGGAACAGGGGTTGGCTGACGCTGCGCGACGTGTTGAGGCTGTTGAGATGCGCGAGGTTGCGAGTGCTGTGACTGCTGCGAAGCCGGGCGTTGGGACTGCGAGGAATGCGGGCGGGCTTGCACCGGGATAGGCAACATCGTACGCGATGATGGATGAGGCTGGCCAGTGCTGGGTCGTTCTTGGACATGCTGAGCTTGAACGCGGCCGCCGAAGTACGACGGCGACGCGTTGGGGCGTTGACGCTTGGTTGCGTGTGCAGCAAAATCGTTCGTTTCCGTCGGCGCTGCGGGGCGTTTGGAGACCGGTGCCGGAGGCGGGGAGTTTGCTTCAAGATCGATCACCTGGGTCGGAGCTGAAACCAGTCAGCATCACGAAACCAGAAGCCATTGATAGAGAACGCATATATGCGCACAAGATATGTAGTACCCGAGGTATTCGAGCTAAAAGCGTAGAAGCATGACTTGCTGTGCACCACAAACGGTGACGCGCTCGTAGTCTACGTTGAGACGCACAGGACGCTTGCATGAGCGGTTCAGAGCCAGTATGTGCAGAAAGGCTGGGTCAGTTCTTTATCGAGCCCTTTGCCGAGGAGACGGCCCATGATCAAGGCCGCAAGTGAAGGTCGAAAAAACTTACCCTCTGTGGGCGGACTACCCATCGCTCCAAAGCGAAACAGCGCGTCGCTCTCATCTCCATCGTCTTCTTGGGCATTATATCCGCTCATGTTGCTCATATAGCCGCTGTCTTCGTCGTCGAGTCTCGGTGAACTCATCTGCGGGGCAGTAGCGCGAGGCGCGTGTAGTTCACGCATTGGCTGAGTCGGAGGCATCATCGACTGATTGGGCGACGACGCAGCATGTGCCTGAGCCTGAGACGATAATAGCTGCTTGAATGGTATCGGAGAAACAGGAAAGCGTTTCATTTGCGCGAGACCAGCTTGGCGGGCGTGTCCGCCGGTACCGGGCTTGGACGGCGTCGCCGTCGGCACGACCGAGCTCACTGGGCGCTTGAGGCCGGAGAGGTTGAGGGGGCGGTCCGGGCCGGTAGTGCCGGTAGGCTGACGCGAGGGAGTGAATGGCGCGCGCGCCGACATTGGCGCGATGGTGGTGGTAGGAGTACAAGTCGCGAAGACGCGAAGACGCGTCGAACGCGTAAAAACCAGACGCGTCAAGGAAGCGCGCGGCGTTTGCCGAGACGCGTCGCGACGCGTCGTGTTCGCTCACACGCGTCTGTTCATCCTCTACCACCGAGTACTCCTTCGGGTCGTTCGCCCATGAGACCCGCGCTACCGTTGCAGGGACGGATATACAACTTTGAGCCGTACTATAGCTCATGCTGCGGTATCATGCTCGCAAAACCCCGATAGAGTAATGCGTGTAAGCGGCACTGCTTGGAGACGATGCGGATCTCTGCGCATGTTGGCTGAAGTTCACCGTTACGAAGTTCTACCTCTCCATACTCTCCCAACTTTACTCTTCAGTTCTTATCTATGCCCCATCGCGGAATACCCGTGTTCATCTTGGAACGATCACCAGCATTGGGGAGGGCACAAGGCGATGAAGACCAACTACTGAGGCCGCACTTCTGGCGGACATTACACGTTCCCAGAGCCCACAAGGCCACCCTCTCTTTCTTCAGCCTCTAATGGCGAAGCGGATGTCATGTTGAGGTAAACGACTATCGCGGTCGCCGTTCGGAAGTCGGCGCGTCGCCGGAGCTTGAGTCGCGCATCTAGCAAGTCCTTCTCGATGAACTGGCTCAACGGTCTTCAAGTTTACGACCGACGGCAGAGCTGTACTCCGCAGTTCCACTCTCGTTGACAGCACACCACAGACAGTATCCAGTCGCCGAGCGATGTGCTCAGTCTGTGTTCATCGCTGAGCTCAATCGCCACTGTCACGTAATGGCCGGCGGTAGCCGGACGGCGAACGAGGCGCGGATGCGGGGGTTATCTCGTTCCGCCGCAGCAGAAGTTGCTTCCGTCGCGCTGTACGCCGATCGGACCGAACCCCGCACTTCGGAAGTCGGGCCCAGGCGCGGTGGCCTTGCGCGACTCAAAAACCCAGAGAGCATGTCTGAAATCCAGCCAGCTCACTGCACCAACCCATCTCGCACCGTTCCCCCTTCCTCTCCCCGCTTCTACTCAAGCGTCAGCCCATCTGCTTGACTTTGGGGATCTTGGCAGCTTCCACATCTCGTCCAAGGCAACTCAGCTGAGCCCCGGACTGGAGTCGTTCCCCAGATCTCTGACTGCGCGCTCCACTCCCCCGCGTTCATAACCGCCCCAAGCCGATCGCGACCACAACCCTTCTTCCAAACCCGACCATGTCGATCCTCATCCCGCTCACGCCTGTTATACCTCGCACGCCGCGCACTGTCCACTCGGGCGCGAGTACGCCACCGCGCGGACCATCGCGCCGTGCCTCAAGCTCACGCTGCCCGACGCCGACCTTCCGCCGCTCTGGCCCGTTCTCGGCTGCCGCGCTTACCTCCGCGCTTACGCCCATCTATGTTCTGCGCAACAGCAGCCCAATCGCCTCGCTGCCCGTCGAGCTCCTTCAGCAGATCTTCCTCTTGCTGTCCCCCGCATCGTCGGCCGAGTACCGCGTCCCTGTCGCGCTGAGTCATGTATGCCGCCGCTGGTGCGACGTCGCTCTGCACCTTCCTGAGCTCTGGATCAACATCCCGCTTCGCTCGCACCACTGGGCTGCGGCATTCGTCGCACGCTCGCGTCCGCTTCCTGTCCGCGTATCTCACTCGTACGCGTCGGGAGCAAGCGCAGCCAACTTCGCCATAGCGCTGAACCTCGCGACCGCTTCGCGCGTCGAGCATGCGGCATTCTCCGCGCGCCCCGGCGAAGAGACGGTCTTTGCTCGTGCAATAGCTGCCCTCGCGAAGGCGCCCTTGGGTCGCGCAAAGACGATCCGTCTGTCGCTCGAGAACTGGAACGCTGGCGGCGCACCATTGTACACCCTACCGAACATGCACGCGCCGACACTCGAAGTGCTCGATCTCAGCGGTGTACGCGTTGCGCACGACAACACCGTCTTTGAAGCACCCTTGCGCGAGTTGGTCCTGTCGTCCTGCGAGCTGGATGCGTCGCCGTTGCACTTCTGGGACATCCTGAGTCGGTACTCCGATACCCTCGAGCGCCTCGTTATCGAGGACTCGCTCACTCACGCCTTCGTCAACGCCTTGCCGCGCTTGGAGCAGTCGTCTGTGAAGCCGATCGCCTTCCCGCGTCTGCTTGAGCTCACGCTCGTTGGCCCTTCGTCTGCCGCCGCCTTCATTTTGTCGAGCATCATCATGCCGACCTCGACTGAGCGCACGATCCATGCCTATCCCGCGCGCGAAGGACCAGCGGACGTCATCAGCACCCTCGCACCCGCCGGTGTTGGCGCAGCCGTCGATCTCTGGGCCGAACGCATCTTGCTGGACTTCGCCTCTGGCTCTTCGGACACCGTCGTCCCGGGCTTCCGCTCATACGAGTGGGACGAGCTCTCGGCATCGCGCACTCGCGAGACTGCTCTCAAGTCTTGCACTGGGCGTACGACGCTTGACATTTACGCAGCGGCGCCGATGGACTCGGACGTCGAGATACTCGCGCCGCTTGGTCCCGCGTACGCGCCGTCTGTTGTGCTGCCGCTGCTTCCCGCTATGACTGGCGCAAGCTTGCGTGCCGCCCATCCGGACTTCGGCCGTGTTGCGACATGGACGGGCATGCGTACGACGCGCTTCGGGAAGGCGGTCGAGCGGGTGTACGTTCGCGCTGAGGCAGCTGCGGCGCTCGTGGTAGCGCTGAGCGCGGACAAGGAGTTGATGCCGGCGTTGAAGGAGATCTACGTCGCGAGCGGGGCGAATAGGATTGTCGGAGAGGTGCTCGTGCGCGAGGAAGGCGACGAAGAGATCGATGCGCGCGTCGGCGCGATGAGTGTGCGCGAGGCCGTCGGACTTCGTCAGGGTGTGCGCGTTGTGGAGGCTTGACTGACTCATGGTTGTTTCGGATGTACGATACGGTTTCCCTGCCTCTCCATTTCTCTTTGCATTTTCTCCTCTCCTCTCATCGGTCCTGGTCTCAACTCACCCTCATCACAATTCATATCATATCTGGACTTCCATACATCATACTACATGCCTGCCCCTTCTCGGTTTCTCTTGCTTGTTGCTGTTGTAGAGTATACGGACGCAGTTGATGTTTACTATAGAGCCTCGGGTATTCGCTACGGCTACTGGGTTCATACACGATGACGATATATATTGGCTCTTCTCCCTCTTCAGTCTCTTCACAGCTCAAGAAGGCTGAGCTCTCTACGCAGAGTTCTCTGGAATAGTGCAGCGAGCAGCATCTGTCGGTTACGGCAACCGTTAGTTGAAGACTAGCGTAAGGTATTTGAAGGCGGCATTCGAGTCGTGACGCGTGAGAGGACATCAACTTGATTCGACGCGTCTTCGGTTCTCTCAGACTGACATCATTCCGAATCTCTGTTCGCGCCACGATGTAGTCTCGCCGCATTTCATGATAGCTAAAGCCCTTCCCGTTCTGCATCTCCTACCGTGACGACCATGGCAGTACCGGCAACCCACATTGCGTCCTTACCATCGACATCGAACGCTGGGACACCACAAACCCCGCCTCTCCCGGGCGCCTCTGTTCATCCGTTTCGGCACCCGCCAGAATAGCCGTTCCCTGATATCGGAGCCTCGGCGAAGTGGGCTGTGAGCAGCTACAAGTTTAGGTTCGGCCCCGAGTGGCTAGGCGACATGCATCTGGATACGTTCTGGCAGTACGTTTCTCGCATTGTGAAGGTGTGCGGCCTGCGTGGAGAAGTACTGATGTGAATTCATAGTTCAGATGGACCACAGCCACACTGGATGACAGTGGAGTTTCCTAGGAAGTTGTCACCAATGCAGGTAGGGAATTCCTATAGCCGAATGAGGAGGTGGCACTAACGCGGGACGGGCTATTAGTATCCTCTCCAGAAGATGTCCATATACCTGTCTTACTCGCTGACTCGTACACACCCGCCACCATATCTGTACGAGCAGGAACCAGCCCCGGCGACATGCAAGAGAAAAGAGCCACTACTTTCGACAAACCTGACGGATGGATAACCTTCAATGTGTCCTCGGAGCTGTCTGACGATGGCGAAAGTTTGTACGTCGCACTTTTTGCCGGCTGGTTCACCATGGGTGCTGATGGTTCTATGCTGTCACAGTCGACATATTCACACCTATGTGCTGCAGGTGGTGGTTCTGGGGAACCATATGAACAGAACAGACACCCATGTGAGAGGGATGATAGCGCACGGTCCGCCAGAGTCAGCTTATTGCGACTCGCGGTTTTAGAGTTAATACTAACGGAGAGCGATTTGGCAGAGACAATACATCCTGGTATGATCCGTTCCCGTGGAAGAACGATTGCTTCGGGTGGTATGAGCAAATACGATGACCATGCTGTGAATTTATTATCGTATTATCTGTGTTGTGTAGAGCTGTCCTCACGAGATCCGGAAACTGTGGCTACACTGTGAGCACGCCTGTCACGCGCCCGGCCCCCATTATGGCCCATTTTCATCTCTCCGTCGTGAGCTGATGAGGCATTGCACCAACTTCTGCAAATGTTACCATCGCCTAGCGAGACTATCTGACCTCTCATACTACTGAACAACATCGTTCCTCCGTCTGTTGGTTTCCGTATGATACATAGCAAGATCTTCGCGCGCCCCTCACACATTGGCGCCATCTGCTTCTCCCGAGGGCACCCCGCCAACCGCTGACATCTTGGTTGCCGAACAGGTCTCTCTAGCTCCAAGGCGGCTGCAGTCTGCTTACAAAGACGGGTGGGATGACTTTAAGCGGTCCCAGGCTGGGTACGTGTACAGCCATTCCCTGTGAGCGCGCGTCATTGACATCTTCAATGTTGGTACGTGGAGCATATCCCCTCCTCTTCCTTGTTTCAAGGAGTGATATATAACAGGATCTGTGCTCGAGTGCAATCGCTGTACCTTCTCGCAACATGACCGCTGCAGACCCAACATACCCGCTTTACCCCATTGCTTGCCTTCTCTCTGCGGCATGTCTCCTCCTTGTGCTTCTTAGCAGTTGCATTAGGCAAAGCTGGAACCTTGGAGTCGCCTTCTTGTGTTTGTGGATCTTTGTTGAGAACGTGACCAGCTGTATAAATGCGATTGCATGGTCCGATAATGCGGATATCAAATTACTGGTCTACTGCGATATAGGTGCGTGACCTTTCGTACGACATGGCAGGAAAGCAATACGCTAACCATAACCCGGCAGTCTCCCGTTTGCAATTGATAACTTACGTCGTCAAGCCAATGGCAACTCTGATCATCGCTCGCCGCCTATACTTGATCACCTGCCTGCGGCCTGTGGAATCGTCGGGAAAAGCCCAGGTATGTTCTGCCGCTCAATCTTGTGATCAACTTCCAAACTATAGTGCTGAATATGCCGCAGAGAAACCGGGAGCTGGCCCTGGAATGGACCTTGGGCTTGATTCTTCCTGTATTGGTCGCAGGACCACTATGTAAGTCTTCTACAATTGTAAAGATGGCGAGTGTGTACTCAATGCCTGGCCAGATTACATTGTGCAGGAATTCCGTTTTGAGGTGATAGAGGGCGTCGGATGCGGGAGCGCCCAAGATGGCTCGGGACTCTGCATCTTACTGGTCAATTCATGGGTCGTAGTGCCTCCCCTGCTTTCGGTGACTCTATATTATCGTGCGTTGGGTTCGGATCCCTGAGATCAACACCTGATACTGAAAGTTGTACTAACTTTAGCCAGGGTGATACGGATGTTCTATCGCCAAAAACGGGATCACGGTCGCTTCTCGAACAGCGACGGTTCCGTGCCCCGCAATAGTCACCTCCGCGTCCTTGCTCTAGCTAGCATCGACATCTTATTGACGTTGCCAATTGGCATCACGACCATCGTCTTGGACGTGACCAACTCACTCGCTGAGAATTTCTTGCCCTTCTACCCAGGTTGGACGTATGACCATACCGAGTGGGCGCCAGTGGGCATATCAAACGCAGAGGCAGAAGCGGGAGGCACTGCTGGCATGGCACAGCAATACTTTGGCCAGTGGACGTCGCCCGTGCTGGCGCTTGCCATATTCGCCCTCTTCGGCTTCACTGCGGAAGCCCGCGCCTCGTACATGCGCGCCATTCGGGTCGTCTGTGGTCGGTTCGGCCTGGTATCAGCGGCGCCCCCTCGTACCCGGAAGGCGCACTCGACCCTAGGAACGATCGAATTTGGGGAGCGACCCCCGCAAGATGTTTCATTCGACGCCGAATATGGGTGAGTTTCGCACCGGTTCAGGAATCCTGTTCGCTGACTCTGACTGTCCTTAAGCATCCCGTCGCGCGCGTCAGACTGTGATCAGCTTAGTATCGCGCGTGCCACACCTGAGCATGTCGATGAAGATAAAGCAGACGACTATTTCGCCTAGACCCGCGCATTGGAGAGTGCGTCTCAAGAGAAGTAGATGGAGAGTTCGTGAGTTCGAGGCATGGACAAGACGTCGCATCATGTATATTTGTTTGGGAACACACGCACCATTTCTCATACCCCGAACATATTTTCCAGCCCGAGCGGCGCCTTCTCTTCCGCAGCCGGCGGGTCTTCTCGCAAAGAAGCAACCATATATCACAGATCAAGCCAATCCGTCATAAGCATAAAATGAGCACGGTTCGTGAGCGTGGCGCGTCGTCAATGGTAAAGCAGAGCAGTCGAGCAGTATGTACCGAGATCTCGAGAAGAACCAAGACCGTATATGACGCACAGAGAGGGGAGGAGAGCGGAGATATGGATGGGGGGTGTTGCGGGGTTGTAGGGAGGTATCGCTGAGAGGGAAGGGGGTGGTAGAGGATGGGTTTCAGAGGCGAGGAGTAAGAGGGGGGAGGGGGGTA